GATAAGGTAATGACTACCTCTGCCCTCAGGGGCTGCACAGCACAAGTCAGTAGCCATGAGCCATAACACGTGGCTCCTAAGCACTTGAAATGTGAGCGATCCAAACCGAGCTGTGCTTTACATGTAAAATACCCCCTGGATTTCAAAGATTTAGTACCCAAAAATGAATGTAAAATTATTAGTTTTTATATTGATGATATTTTATATGTTGAAATGGTATTTTTTAAAATACTGGGTTAATTAAAAATATTAAAATTAATGTTACCTATTTGTTTTACTTTTTCAAATGTGGGTACTAGAAACATTTTAATTTTGTGGTTCACCTATTTCTGACACAGTGCTGATCCAGCCCAACTGTTGGCTTCTGTTAATAATTTCACGATCTCTGCAAATCACACCGTTGGGTAAAGAGCATCTAATCAATATTTGATAAATATTAAACATCCTGTCAAGGAATCTCATAGCTGGGAGTAAAAAGGCAACTCCTCTTCTCTCTCACCAGTAACTACAGATTTCTTTCTCATATTTATAGCCCAAGAATGACCAACATATTAAAAAGCCATTTCATTTTGGATAAACCATGGGAATTTGTCTGGGTTAATGCCATGAAGACCAAGCATTAATTTTTATTAGGTGAAATATAGCATAGGATCCTCAACCTTGACAAAACCGAAATTGGGTTTCAGAGTCTAAAGTAGCTCTCTAAATCCTCTCCCAAATTCTCCATGTGCAAATCCCATTTTCCTAAAAATTACTTACTGCTAATAAAATCTACCATAGAATTGGTTTACCTGATTCAGGAACTCCCACTGGAAAAATGTAAAAGCAAAAAATTAAAACAGAACCTGTATTCACAGGTAAACACTTAATACCCAGAAGGGAACATGAAGCTAAAGGATTATGTACCTGTGATGTCTGACCCATCTTCTCTTCCATGTCACAGGACTTGCTCTTTACCCCAGGGAGCAAGCAAGAACTTACAGTAACCAGAGAAACGGGTTTTAGTTTCTAGCCCAAAGGCAGAAAGAAGCTAGCTGTCTGAGATAATGTGACAGAAGATTAGGTTGTTTCCAGTGTTTTCACTATTATAAATAATATTGTAATGAAGCTTCCTCTATATAGATTTGTATGCAAATGTATGAGAATTTCTGGGTCAAAGGAATATGCACTTAACATTTTTATAGAAAAAAATAAAAAATGCAAAAATACAAAACAAAAAAATTTTTTATAGATATAATACTGTTATAGGGCCATACTGCTCTCCAAATAGAATGGACCAATTTATACACCCAGCAATGTATATGCAAGTGCCCACTTCTTCACGCTTTCTTTAACCTTCTCACATTTGTGCCAATCTGATGGGTACAAATTGGTGTCAGGTTAATTTCCATTTTCTTTATCTTACTAGTTCACATGTTTATCAGCCCATTTGTATTTCTTCTTTTTGGAACTGCCCGATCGTATCCTTTGCCTATTTTGAATCTATTAAGTTGTCTTCTCACCATTTTGTAATTTTTTTTTCTTTTTCCTTCGAGACAGGGTCTTACTCTGTCGCCCAGGCTGAGTGAGACCCCGCAGTAGCATAATCACAGAGCGCTGCAGCTTCGACCTCTCTTCCTCAAGAGATCCTCCCGCCTCACCCTCTGGAGTAGCTGGGTCTATAGGCATGAGCCACCACACCTAGCTAATTTTTTAATTTTTTATAAAGATGAGGTATTACTATGTTGCCCAGGCTGGTCTTGAACTTCTAAGCTCAAATGATCATCCTGCCCTAGCCTTCCAAAGCGCTGGGATCACAGGCATAAGCCACTGAGCCAGGCCCCAAATTCTTTATTTATGTTTATTTCTTCCAGGCTGCTCCTTGTCTTTTGTTTATGGCATCTATTAACATACAAAGGTGTTTATGTAACTGAGTCTGTCAATCTTCTCTTTTATAGCTCCCTTGTTCCATAACTCATTCACCTCTGAATTATAAAATGATTAAAATATTCTCATTTATCTTGAATAATTTCATGTTTCAATTTTTTATATTCAGAATTTGAATACATCAGAATTTATATTTCTGTGTGTTATATGCAGTGGGGCTCTAATTTTTCCTCCCAAAATAGACAGGCTACTGTCCCCAAATCACTTAAAGAAAGCCACCCCTCCTATAATTATTTAAAATGCCACCTTTATCATATACTAAATCGACATGTTCTAGACTCGAATTAGGAAAATCCCAATATTCAGATCTAATCACCTTGGACAAAAAATTTATTGCTCTTTAAGGATATATGAATATAAAAATATGTAAATAATATGCAAATATATAAAAGAACATCACAGAAGCTTAAATGCAAAAGCTTGCAAATAAAGTAGTATATAATATTTATACCTTAATAAATCTATTACTCACAAGATGTAGCCATCTCCAGATGTGCTAATGAACATTTGTAGTGAGGCCATTTTTAAAAAATAAAAACTTATTGCTAAAAGTATTTATTGATTATAAATATCAAACAGGCTAAATGATAAATCAATTTAACTGGTTACTTCTTTCCAAATATAAAGGCCACAACTACCTCTACCACAAAAGACAGGTCTTCTGTTGGACCTAGAAGTCTCAAGGAAAGCCAAGGAAGTCTGATCCAGTTAGCTCCTCCATATCCCCCAAATGGCAGGTAGAACTTTTTACTACTCCCAGAGCCCAAGTTGTTCAGACCAAAGCAATCCATTCACATCAGCCCACAATATTACTTGTTGGTTATATAAGCATCTCCTACCACAGGGCTTCCCAAAGTGCTGGGATTATAGGTGTGAATCACCATGCCTGGCCCTCATTACCACATTGTTTTAATTATTATAGCTTTGAACTATCTTTTGATATCTAGAACAAATTCTCTTTTGTATTACTTTTTCCCAAAAACTTCTACCTATTTTTCTCCACTTTTGCAATTAATTTTAGAATGGGTCTGTTAAGTCTATAAAAAGTCCCGTGGACAGAGAGCATCTTAACCAGGTGATGAAAATTAAAATAACCAGTAACGGGACAAATCAATCAATATCATGTGCAATGAGATGATCACAATATTATTTCAGTGGTAGTCCTGCCAAAAATACATAATCTGAATATAACTATGAGAAAACAGAGAAAAACCAAAACTAAGGGATGTTTTACAACATAACTAGTCTGCAACTGTTCAAAAATATCAATGTCAAAAAAGACAAATGCTGAGAAACTGTTCAACACTGAAAGAGGATAAAAACACATGAAAACAGAATGCAACACACAATCTCGGATTTTCTACTGCTATTAAAGAACATTATTAGCCGGGTGAAGTGGCTCACACCTGTAATCCCAGCACTTTGGGAGGTCAAGGCAGGCAGATCACCTGAGGTCAGGAGTTCCAGACCAGCCTGGCCAACATGGTGAAACCCTACCTCTACTAAAAATACAAAAATTAACCGGGTGTGGTGGTGGGCACCTGTGAACCCAGCTACTTGGGAGGCTAAGGCAGGTAAATGACTTGAACCCGAGAGGCGGAGATTACAGTGAGCCGAGACTGCACCATTGCATTCCAGCCTGGTGACAGAACGAGACTCCGTCGCAAAACAAACAGAACATTATTAGGATAGTGGCAAAATAATAATGGCAAAATCTGAAACAAGGTCTGTAACTTATGTACTAGTATTAATTTTACTCATTATTTATGGGCTTAATAATCAGTGTTGATGCCTAATTTTGATACATGTTCTGCAGTTACGGAAGAGAATGTCTGCTTTTCAGGGGCAAACACTTTATTACTTAGACATAAAGAGATACGGTAAAATAATGAAACCTAACTCTACCGACCCCGCCAAAAAAAATTACCTGGGTATGGTGGTGCATTTCTGTAGCCCCAGCTATGTGGGTAGCTGAGGTGGGTGGGAGGATCGCTTGAGTGCAGTAAGCTATGATTGCACCCCTGCACTTCAGCCTGGGTGATAGAACAAAATTTCATCTCTAAAATTTCTAATTTTTGATTTTTTTAAGAGACATCAGCTGGGCGCGGTGGCTCACATCTGTAATCCCAGCACTGCGGGAGGTCAAGGCAGGTGAATCACTTGAGGTCAGGAGCTCAAGCCTGGTCAACATGGTGAAACCCAGACCCTACCAAAAAAATACAGGGCATAGTGGCGCATAACGGCAGTCCCAGCAATTCAGGAGGCAGAGGTTGCGTGAGCCCTGATCGCGCCACTGCACTCCAGCCTGGGCGACAGGGGGAGACCCTGTCTCAAAAAAAAAAAAAAAAAAAGAGAGAGAGAGACATGTCTGCAATTTTCAAATGGTTGAAACAGAAAAGTATGCATATATGTATTGTGTACAAAGCAGGGAAGGAGACAGGAGAGGGAGCAGGATAAAGCGAAAGAGAAAATAACATTTGGGGAATCCGGGTAAAAGATACAGGAGAATTTTTTTCTTTTTCTTTTTTTTGAGATGGGGTCTCGCTCTGTCACCGAGGCTGGAGTGCAGCGCCGCGATCTCAGCTCACTGCAACCTCCACCTCCCGAGCTCAAGCAATCTTCCCGCCTCAGCATTCTGAGTAGCTGGTACCACCGGCGCGCGCCACCACGCCCAGCTATTATTTTGTATTTTTGGTAGAGACGGCGTTTCGCCTCGTTGCCCAGGCTGGTCTCGAGGCTGGTAACTCACGAGCCCAAGTGATCCACCCATCTCAGCCTCCCAAACTGCCGAGATTACTGGCGTGACTCACCATGCCCAGACAGGATACAGGAGAATGTCTACCATTTCTGCTTTTTTTTTTTTTTTTTGAAATGGAGTTTCGCTCTTGTTGCCCAGGCTGGAGTGCAACGGCGCGATCTCAGCTCATCGCAATCTCTGCCTCCTGGGTTCAAGCGCTTCTCCTGCCTCAGCCTCCCGATTAGCTGGGATTACAGGCATGCACCACCACACCTGGCTAATTTTTGTATTTTTAGTAGAGACGGGGTATCACTATGTCGGTCAGGTTGGTCTCGAACTCCTGATGTCGTGATCCGCCATCTTCGGCCTCCCAAAGTGCTGGGATTACAGTCGTGAGCATTTCTGAAATTTTTGTTAAACCGGAAGTTACGTGGAAATTAAAATGCAATTCTTAAAAGGTCCCTTGAGGATTTTATCGGGATAATCCATTAAGGAACAAAATCCCTGGCCATTTATTCTGTTTTTTTAATGTCCATGAGTATAGTATTTCGTTTTGTTTGTTTGTTTACTGAGACACAGTCTCGCTCGGTCGCCTAGGCTGGTGTACAGTGGCTCGATCTCAGCTCACTGCAACTTCCGCCTCCGGGTTTAGGCGATTCTCCCACCTGAATGGTTAGAACTACAGGCGCACGTGACCTCAACCAGCTATTTTTTTTTTCTTTCTTCTGTTTTTTGAGAAGGAGTCTTGATCTGTCGCCCCAGATGGAGTGCAGTGGCGCGATCTAAGCTCACCGCTACCTCCGCCTCCCGGTTCCAGCGATTCTACAACCTCAGCCTCCTAAGTAGACACTATAGGCGCGGGCCACTGCGTCTTTTCTTTTTGAGACGCAGTCTCACTCTGTCGCCCAGGCTGGAGTACAGCGGCGCGATCTTGGCCCACTGCAATCTCGGCCTCCTGGGTTTCAGCAATTCTCCTGCCTCAGCCTCCCGAGTAGCTGGGATTACAGGTATGTGCGAGGACGCTTGACTAATTTTTGTATTTTTAGTAGAGAGGGGGTTTGGGTTTCGCCATGTTGGCCAGGCTGGTCTGGAACTCCTAATCTCAGGTGATCCGCCCACCTTGGCCTCCCAAAGTGCTGGGATTATAGGCGTTAAGCTACCACACCCGGCCAATTTTTGTACTTTTCGTAGAAATGGAGTTTCACCATGTTGGCCAGGGTGGTCTCAAACTCCTGACCTCAGGCCATCCACCCACCTCGGCCTCCCAAGGTGCTGGGATTACAGGCATGAGCCATAGCGCCTGGCTGCCCAGCTAGTTTCTGTATTTCATCAGTATAGTTTCATATTCTTCTTTTTTCTAAATACTTTATAAATTTTCATACAATTTTAAATGGATAACTCTTTTATCTTCTAATTGGTTGCTGTTAATATGTAGGAAGGTGATTTATTTTTGCACGTTTAAATTTTGTCCACCCAATTTTCTGAACTCTAGTATAGTTATCATGTGTTATCTTGAATTTTATAGGTACACAATCAGATCATCTGCTGTTAATGCCAACTTTAACTCTTCCTTTCCAATATGTGTACCTCTTTTTTTTTTTTTCTTTTCCTGGTCTTCTACTGTATTGGCTGAAAACTCCTGAACAAGGTTGAATAGTGGAGATGACAGTGGGCATCATTGTCTCGTTTTGGTTTTTTTTTTTTAATTTTTAATTCTTTGGCATGCACCTGCATGTCTTGTTTTTTTTAACTTTCATGAGGATACTGTGATACCTCATATACGATCTTTACTAGTTTTTCTTTTTGTGTAGAGATGGGGTTTCACGGTGTTAGCAAAGATGATCTCGATCTTCTGACGTCGTGATCCGCCCCCTCCCCCAACCTCCGAAAGTGCTGGGATTACACCGCACCCAGCCCTACTACTGGTTTCTTGTAGTATTCTGTCACAAAATAAATCTTCTTTTATCCCTGGATGCTTAAGAATGTTTTCCCTAGGCCGGGCGCGGTGGCTCAAGCCTGTAATCCCAGCACTTTGGGAGGCCGAGGCGGGTGGATCACGAGGTCAAGAGATCGAGACCATCCTGGTCAACATGGTGAAACCCCGTCTCTACTAAAAATACAAAAAATTAGCTGGGCATGGTGGCGCGTGCCTGTAATCCCAGCTACTCAGGAGGCTGGGGCAGGAGAATTGCCTGAACCCGGGAGGTGGAGGTTGCGGTGAGCCGAGATCGCGCCATTGCACTCCAGCCTGGGTAACAAGAGCAAAACTCCGTCTCAAAAAAAAAAAAAAAAAAAAAAAAAAAAAAAAAAGAATGTTTTTCCCTTACCAGGAATGGATGTGGGGTACTTATTTATTTGTTTATACAATCACTGCTCACTGCAGCCTTGACCTGCCAGGCTTAAGCAATCCTCTATCTCAGCCTCCCAATTAGCTGGGACCACAGGTGCATGCCAACACGTCTGGCTAATTTTTAATTTTTTTTTTCTCTTCTCCATCTGAGTCTGCTTGCTAGGGAAATTTTTAAATTTTTTTAAGAGACGAGTGTTGCCTAGGCTGGTCTCCAACTCCTGGGCTCCAGATCCTCCTGCCTCAGCCTCCCAAAGTGCTGGGATTACAAGCATGAGCCACTGTGTTCCCAGCACAAAGTTTGTATTCAAATGTAACATACAGAAAAGCACATATGTCATATAGATACTAGATACATTTTAACAAAATGAACAGGTTAAATATCAAAGTTTATTAAATGTTTTATTTAATACAGCAAAGTCACACTTTTTCTTTAAGCCTATTAAAATAGTAAACTAAATACATTCCAGAGATAAGGCCCATTTGATGATTTTATTTAGATTTGCCCCTGCAATCTTATGTGTTTTCTATTTACCACTTTATTGCTTTATTTTCCCACTTTTCGGATCTTATTGAAATAAGCTCTCTTCTTTTCTCCTACAAAGATCTACATCTTATTACCCCTAATATTTTCTGAAAAACAAACTTTTATTTTTTTTAACCCTCTTCAGAATAAACCACATCTGGAAAGAAATTCGCCTGTTAATGGTGGTTGAGTGAAGATGTGGGGCAGGATCTTTGCTTTTAAAATTTAACTCCTTTTACTGTTAAATATGGTATGCATTAGAATTTACATAAATATAAATGCACAGTTTAACAAATTATTAAAAAGAGAAACGTAACTATCATCCAGCTCAAGAAACTGAATACTGCATCGAGAGCTTAACAAATTATTAAAATAGGAACATATAATCATCATCCAGGTTAAGAAACAAACTACTACCAGCACCCAGATGCTCTCTGCCTGCCCGTCTTGATCACACCCTCCAACCTTCACTTCTAGAGTATCCTACCTCCTGATTTTTAGGGCAATCATAAAATCTGTCTTTTTATAGCTTTATTATACCTAGGTATGCATCCCTAAACAATACTGTTTATTTTGGCCTAGGTTTTTTTTGTATTTTAGGTTCTGGGGTATATGTGCAGCTTGTGCAGGACTGTTGCATAGGTACACACATGGCAATGTGGTTTGCTGCCTCCATCCCCGTCACCTACATCTGGCATTTCTCCCCATGTTATCCCTCCCCAACCTCCCCATCCCCCTACTGTCCTTCCCTTGGCCCCCCACCAACAGACCCCAGTGTGTGATGCTCCCCTCCCTGTGTCCATGCGTTCTCATTGTTCAACACCCGCCTATAAGTGAGAACATGTGGTGTTTGATTTTCGATTCTTGTGTCGGTTTGCTGAGAATGATGGTTTCCAGATTCATCCATGTCCCTACAAAGAACACGAACTCATCGTTTTTGTTTTTTATGGCTGCTCAGTATTCCATGGTGTATATGTGCCACATTTTCCTTTTCCAGTCTATCGTCGATGGGCATTTGGGTTGGTTCCACATCTTTGCTATTGTAAACAGTGCCCCTGTGAACATACATGTGCATGTGTCTTTATAACAGAATGATTTATAATCCTTTGGGTATCCAGTAATGGGATTGCTGGGTCAAACGGAATTTCTCTTTCTAGGTCCTTGAAGAAGCACCACATTGTCTTCCACAATGGTTGAACTAATTTACACTCGCACTAACAGTGTAACAGTGTTACTATTTCTCCACATCCTCTCCAGCATCTGTTGTCTCCAGATTTTTTTAATCATCACCATTCTAACTGGTGTGAGGTGGCATCTCAATGTGGTTTTGATTTGCATTTCTCTAATAATCAGTGATGAGCATTTTTTCATATGTTTGTTGGCCTCATATATGTCTTCTTTTGAAAAGCGTCTGTTCATATCCTTCTCCCACTTTTGGATGGGTTTAGTTCTTTGTAGATTCTGGATATTAGCCCTTTGTCAGATGGGTAAATTGCAAAAATTTTTTCATTCTGTTGGTTGCTGGTTCACTCTAATGATTGTTTCTTTGGCTGTACAGAAGCTGTGGAGTTTAATTAGGTCCCATTTGTCTATTTTGGCTTTTGTTGCCAATGCTTTTGGTGTTTTAGTCATGTTTTAAAGTGTATTTGAATAGAATAATATAGTATGTAGGATAATATAGTATGTATTCTTTCTGGGCTCTTTTATTTGCAATTATGTTTTTGAGATTCATCCATGTTCTAGGGGAGCAGAAGTGGTCTGTTCATTTCCCTTGCCAAATACTATTTATTTGTATGAATATATACCACAATTTATCCAGTCTAAGTTGCGTGAATAGGCATTTGGGGTTGTTTCAAATTTGTGGTTCTTAATATTGCCATGAACATTTTTGCACACATTGCAAGTGCACAGGGGCTTGTATTTCTGTTGGCTATAAATCTAAACATGGTATTTCTGAATCTTAATGTAAATATTCACCTTCATTTGACAAAGCCAAAATGCTTTTCAAAATGGTTGTACCAATTTATACATCCAACAGCAGCATGTGAGAATTTCTGTTGCTCCACATCCTTGCCAATATTTTCTATTGCCATTGTCAGTCTTTTTAATTTGGCAATTCCTGCTAGTTTGTAAAGCTGTCTCGTGGTTTTAATATTCATTTCTCTCATCACAATGAGGGTGAGCACCTTTTCAGATTTATTGGCCATTTGAATGTTTCTTTTTTTTTTTTGAGACAGAGTTTTGCTCTTGTTACCCACGCTGGAGTGCAGTGGCACAATCTCGGCTCACCGCAACCTCCGCCTCCTGGGTTCAAGCAATTCTTCTGCCTGAGCCTCCCGAGTAGCTGGGACTATAAGCGCGCGCCACCATGCCCAGCTAATTTTTGTATTTTTAGTAGAGACGGGGTTTCACCATGTTGACCAGGATGGTCTCGATCTCTTGACCTCGTGATCCACCCGCCTCGGCCTCCCAAAGTGCTGGGATTATAGGCGTAAGCCACCGCGCCCGGCCTCATTTGAATGTTTCTTTTGGGAAATGTCTGCTGATACAGTTTGGATTTGTGGCCCCGCCCGAATCTCATGTTCAATTGTTATCCCCAGTGTTGGAGATGGGGCATGGGCATGGTGGGAGGTGACTGGATCATGGCTCCGAAGTTCTCATGAATGGTTTAGCACTATGCCTCCTTGGTACTGTATCGAGAGAGAGTTTTCACAAGATCTGGTTGTTTAAAAGCTCTTGGTACTTCCCCCCACCCCCTCTTGATCCAGCTCCTGCCATGTAAGACACCTGGTTCCACTTGTCTCCTGCCATGAGAAAAAGCTCTTTGGGGCCTCTCCAGAAGCAGATGCTACCATGCTTCCTATTCAGCCTGCAGAACCGTGGGTCAATTAAACCTCTTCTTTATAAAGTACCCAGTCTCAGGTATTTCTTTATAGCAGTGCAAGAACAGACTAATGCACCTGCTCAAGCCTCTTATATACATTCTCTCACTGAATTATCATTTTTGTTTCTGAGATGGAGTTTCGCTGTCACCCAAGCTGGAGTGCAATGGCTCAATCTTGGCTTACTGGGTTCATTCTCCTGCCTCAGCCTCCCGAATAGCTGGGATTATAGGCACTCTCCCGCCTCAGCCTCCCAAGTAGCTGGAATTACAGTTGCCTGCCACCACGCCCGGCTAATAGTTTTGCATTTTTAGTAGAGATGGGGTTTCACTATGTTGGCCAGGCTGGTCTTAAACTCCTGACCTCATGATCCACCCGCCTCAGCCTCCCAAAGTGCTGGGATTATAGGCGTAAGCCACCGCGCCCGGCCTTCACCCTATGCATTTCCAGATTATTTGAATTTCAATGAGGATGAAGACTTTTATGATGATCCACTTCCACTTAATGAATAGTAAATATATTTTATTTTTCTTACTTTTTTTTTTTTTGAGACAGAGTCTTGCTCTGTTGCCCAGGCTGCAGTGCAGTGGCATGATCTCGGCTCCCAGGCTAAAGTGATTCTCCTGCCTCAGCCTCCTCAGTAACTGGGATTACAGGTGCCCACCACCACACCCAACCAATTTTTTGTATTTTTAGTAGAGATGGGATTTCACTATGTTGGCCAGGCTGGTTTTCAACTATTGACCTCAAGTGATCTGCCTGCCTCAGCCTCCCAAAGTGTTGGATTACAGGCATCAGCCACTGAGCCTGGCTGATGATTTTCTTATCCTTCTTGGATAACATTGAAAGATAATAAATAATATTTTCCTTGCCATGACAAGGATTATTGTCTTTCTTAAATTTTTTAGAATTAAAATGGAGGCAGGGTTTTGCCATGTTGCCCAGGCTGATCTCAAAATGGGCAACATGGCAGTTTGAGCTCAAGCAATCCACCCATCTCAGCTTCCCAATGTGTTAGAATTACAGGTGTGAGCCACCATGACCGGCCACAAGGATATTGTTAAAAATATTTTTTCCCTTCCTCCAGTTTCCTTTATTGTAAGAATACAATATATAATATATATACAAAATATGTGTTAGCTTACTATGTTATCAGTAAGACTTCTGGTCAACCATAAACTATTAGTAGTCTAAAGCTATGCACAGATTTTTTATTGCATGGCGGTCAGCATCTTTAACACCTAAATTGCTCGAGGGTCAAGTATATACGTATATTCACACATACATGCATATTTATTTTACTTCTCTGTATTTTAGAGATATCAACAGTTATACTAGCCTTCCTGAATTTCTTGGCATACTCCACTTCTTATATCCAAATCTTCCTCTATTTTGGATTTTTCATTTTACCAGGAGTATATCTTCAAGTAATTTTATCAAAATGGGTTGGCACAAACTTTCAGAGATCTTACTCATTTTTACCCCCCACTTAAACATGAGTGAGGCTGGATATAGAATTCTGTCTTGAGAATAATTTCCCCTCAGAACACTGAAAGCACTTATCTTCCAGCAAACCATGCTGCAGGTGAGAAATCCATGCCAGTCCAATTTTCAGTTTTGAGTCTATGTAATTTGTTTTCTACCTCTGAAATAGTAAGTACTTTGGGAATATTCAGGGAGGTACTTCTTGTTGGTTTGTTTTTGCATTTTTCCTGCTTGGTCCTTGGCATAACCTTTGTATGTGGAAACTCAGATTTTTTAATTTTCTCCCTTCCATTGTCTGATCTCTCCTTCTGTAACTCCTATGAAATGGGTACTGGACCACTCAGGTCTATCCTCAAAGGATGAATTTTCCTCATGTACTTTCTATCTGTAGGTCTTCTTACTTCACAGTCTGCAAATTTCCTGTTTTATTTTTATGAAAAGTAACTGGTCTTAAGTGTATTGTTTAACGCTCCAACTGAGTTTTAATTTCAATTAAATTCTTCAATATAAAACGAATTTATTCATCATTAATTTTTATCCATGGAAGCGTTTTTTGTTCTGTTTTTTTTGTTGTTGTTGTTGTTGTTTTGTTTTTTTTTGTTTGAGATGGAGTTTCGCTCTTGTTACCCAGGCTGGAGTGCAATGGCACGATCTTGGCTCACCGCAACCTCCGCCTCCTGGGTTCAGGCAATTCTCCTGCCTCAGCCTCCTGAGTAGCTGGGATTACAGGCACGCGCCACCAGGCCCAGCTGATTTTTTGTAGTTTTAGTAGAGACGGGGTTTCACCGTGTTGACCAGGATGGTTTCGATCTCTTGACCTCGTGATCCACCCACCTCGGCCTCCCAAAGTGCTGGGATTACAGGCGTGAGCCACCGCCCCCGGCCCTGTTTTGTTTTTTTTGAGACAGAGTCTTGCTCTGTTGCCCAGGCTGGAGTGCAATGGCATGATCTCGGCTCACTGAAACCTCTGCCTCCCAGATTGAAGTGATTCTCATGCCTCAGCCTCCCCAGTAGCTGGGACTACAAGCGTGTACCACCATGCTCAGCTAACTTTCGTATTTTTAGTAGAGACAGGGTTTTGTCATGTTGGCCAGGCTGGTCTCAAACTGCTGGTCTCAAGTGATCCACCCACCTCAGCCTCCCAAAGTGCTGGGATTACAGGTGTGAGCCACCATGCCTGGCCAGGAAGCTTTTTTATTTTTTTTCCACTTTGTGGATGTAATTCATGCTTGGCTCTGTAAATATACATCCTGTGATTCGAACTTCCTCAAGTGCCACTCTACTTCTTCATTATCTCTGTTTCTACCACAGGCAGCTGTTTTGTTTATTTTAGTCTCTTCTAAGTCTAGTTTCCCTCAAATTTCTGGTGAGCCTTTATCACCTACTCACATTGGTTAGTTATTATAAGAAACATCTGTTTCCTCAGCAGTTGTATTAATGTGCCTCCAAAGCCCAAATGGAAGGTATTTCTCAGTGTGGGTCTCTGCAGGTAAGTGGCACACTGACAGACGGGCTTCCATTTACAAGTGGAGAAAAAGAAAGCAGTTTTACCTTATTGTTGCCAAAATCATCAGGCTGTATTTTGATGGTATTGTCCTTTAATGCATAGCAATCCTTGATAGAGCTTCTTTTCTTGTTCTCCTCTCATTCCATCCTCCTCACCCATTTACTGCAGAAGTCCACTCAACTAAGGCTCTGCTGTGTCACTCTACCTCCAGTCCCCAAGGCAAATCTTCTGCTTTTCTTGAACTGTTCTCATGACTTTATCCTGGAACTAATGCCATTGCTAGGGTACTTTATGTGAAGGGAGAGAAGGAATAGGGGAAGTAACTGTTTTGAAGGCAGGTCTTTCATTACCTGCCCAGATAGTCCACTTTCCTCCAAAACCGCTCCATCTTCCTACACTTGCTGCCTATAGGCTTAGAGTTTAAGAAAACAGCCCTGCTAAGACATTCTCTGACCTCCATCGTGCAGCAGGAGCATCTATTCTGGGTTGCATTTTATTCTGTGCTGGTTCCTCCATCAATATAATTCCAATTGTTTTCTAGTACCCTAACATTTCTAAAAACTTCTGGTATCATAACAGGAACAATAATGATAGCTAACATTAATTCAGCATTTGCTACATGTAAAGAAACTCTCCTAAGTGCTCTGTATATATTGTCTCTCCTGATTTCACAGTAACTCTAGAAGGTAGGTACTATTATCAACATCCTAATTTTACAGATGAGGCAACTGAGGCCAAAAAAGAATAAGCAACTTGCTCAAGGTCATGCAGTTGGTAAATGGCAGAGCTTGGATTCAGACACAAGTCATCTAGTTTCAAAGACTCCCTTTTCTGTTCTTTTTTTTTTTAATGACAATGATTTATTCTTTGTCTTATGTCTGTTTTGTCATTTCCAATGATATCTGAGAAGTAGGGGAAGGTAAATGGGTATGTTAAGCCTGCCATTTTATAATAAAAACCACTGTTTTCATTACACCATTACTGTTTTCACTACACCACAGTTTTCATTGGTAGAACTATGTTTTAGAGAGAATGCAGGATCTGGTGAAGGAATCTAGTGACCGAAAATGGCCCTATGAAACTGTCTACAATCTGAATCAAGAGAGGTGATATAAAGAATTCCAAAATAAGAGGCTTGGAAGTGGCTATTTCAAAAGTATAGATAAGTTTTTTTTTTAAAAAAAAAAACAAAAACCCAAAAACAAACAAAAACCACACAACCTATTGAAGCATTAAACAATAGCATTTTCATGTTCTCAACAATTCATTTGTTCACTATCACCAACACCAAGAAGAAGTTGAGAACAAAATAAAATGTTAGTCTCAACCTGTTTCCTGACAGTGGCCTTTATAATACTTTAATTCAACTCAAATACATGTGATATACCTGCCACATTCACTATGGAGTGATATGAAAGGCACTGTCCTGCTGTCCCTGCCCTTACAGAGCTTACAGTCTAGTGGGAGGCACGGACAAGTAAACAACTACAATTCAGTGCAACAATAAGTGCTATGACACAGGTAAGTACATGGAGGGTGCCATCAGAACAAAGAGGGGAGGGGCCTGCCAAGGAAGTGTCCCTGGAAATACTCTTGAACTGAGTGTTAAAGGATATGCTATTATTGGTTTGGAGAGATTAAAGTGAATTTATTATCCTTTGCCTAAAATCTACATCTAATTCCACTTCCACTTCCTGATATGTCAAATTAATTCTCTATTTTATTTTCTTATGAGACAGGGCCTCACTTTTTCATCCAGGCTGGAATGCAGTGGCATGACTATAGCTTACTGCAGCCTCAAACTCCTAAGTGCAAGTAATCTTCCTGCCTCAGCCTCCTGAATAGCTGGGACTACAGGCATACCCCACCACACCTGGCTAATTGTACGTGTGTGTGCGCGTGTGTGGGGGGTGTGTGTGTGTAGAGAAAGGGTTTCACTCTGCTAGGATTACAGGTATAAGCCACCATGCCCAGCCCCTACTCTCCATTCCTATTGCAACTACCTCATTACTGTCTCCATCCTTTGCACACTGATAACAGTAATCATCTCATAATTAGCCTTTAATTAAATCTCTTCACTAGCTAAAAATCCAAATGTGATCCTGAAAACTCCGCTTGGGTGATATCCGCTTGATCTGGGCCCTCTCCAGCCTCTTTTGTCCACCCCCTTTCCCACTGTGCTGAACTTTCTCTAGATTTCTAAAAACACCATGTTCTGTTTTGTCTACATGCCTTTACTCAAGCTGCCTAATCACCAATTTGTGAGGATCCAACCTTCCTTTGCTGACACGTACTCAGCCTTTAACCACAACCCTTCTGATGCCATCCTCATGGCCACTCCTTGTCACCCTCCTCCAGCCAAGCTGAGTCAGGAACCTCTCCTTTGTGCTACCATAGCATGCTACTTCATCATAACACTTACCACAAAGAATTATGCTCAAATTATTCTGATTGTCTGTTTACCTGATTCTCTATTACTTAGATCATCAGGCTAGTACAATACAAAGGAAGCAATCAAGAAATACTGAAAGAATGAAAGAATGAAGGAACGAACAAACGAAGAGTTAAGCCTGTGAAAGTTGATGAGACAACCAAAGGAGATAATGGAGAAGACAGAACACTGGAGCAATACCCACCTTAAGGGGGTAGAAAGAAAGAAGCTACAGAAGGAAATAGAATGAACAATCAAAGAGGTAGGAAGAAAATATCTAGAACTATACAGTAAAGCAACCCAAAAAAAGAGAGAAATTTAAGAAGGGCAAGTAGTCAACAGCATCAAACACTACATAGAGGTTAAAGAAGGTGAAAACTAGTGAGAAGAAAGCCACTAGTGATCCTAATGTTGCTGATGCTGAGTTAACACCCCCTCAATTCCAGCACTGTCAGGGGCCACCTTTCTCAACCACTGATTGAGGCTTACAAATAACCAATGGTATAAAACTTACCTGCACAATCTTTTTTTTCTACTATCAAAAAATTGAAAAACAGACACCATACAAAAGAAAAAATCCCCACCATTCAGATACAACCTGTTATGTCACTATTTCCTTTGTTTTTATGTTTATATGTTTTATATCATTGTTATATTGAATTATATATCCTAAACAATTCCTTAATTAGTATACATAAAATTATTAATATAATTAAAAATGAAGCTTAATTTATGCTTTATTGAGCATAAGTAGATTTCTCATTGGAAACTGGTAAATTAGTATTCCAATTTATAAATAGAAAAAAGAAAAAATGCTATAGAAGGACATGTCTGCTTGGCCATGTGTGTACAATGGCTTTCCTGTCATGTAATACTACAATTACCTAATTTTTTTTTTTTTTTTTTTTGAGACAAAGTCTCACTCTATCACTCAGGCTGGAATGCAGTGGTGCAATCATGGCTTACTGCAACCTGTGCCTCCTGGGCTCAGGTGATCCTCCCACCTCAGCCTCCTGAGTAGCTGGGACTATAAGTGTGCACCACCATGCCCGGCTAATTTTTGTATTTTTTGTGGAGACAGGGTTTCACTGTGTTGTCCAGGCTGGTCTCGAACTCCTGGGTTCAAGCAATCTGCCCCTTGGCCTCCTAAAGAGTGGTGATTACACGTATGAGCCACCCAAGCTGGCCCTTAATTTTTAACCAATAAAATTTACTCATGCTAAAAGGTGGTACACCATCTCAAGGATCTTATCTTGACCCATTTTACAGTTGATTCTATGCATGCTCTGGAGCTTGGCTGCCAAAAATAGGTTAGGAACTAGCTATAGAAACATCTATAGCAGTTGCAGGATTTTTTCCTAGGTTACAAAAAACAAACTCCAGTTAAAATTAGATATACTGGGTTGTAAATAATTTAATACAGCCTAAATTACATTAAGTACGCTTGTGTGACAATTTGTTGTATCTAGAAAAATACTGTGAACCAGAGTTTTCAACCTTCCTCTGAGATTTTCTTTTTTCAGTATGGAGTATGTTTTAGTAGAAAAAATAAAAAGTAGAAGGAATGCAACATTTCTAAAAGTAAAAACTACTAGGTCAAAGGGTATGAACATTTCTAAGGTTTTTAATACATATCACCAAACTGGTTTCAGAATAGCTATATAAAATTTACACTTCCTTCAATATATGAGGTTTATTTTCCCATACCCTAGCCAACACTGGGTATTCTTATTTTTATTTCTTTATTTTCTTCCTGAGAATATTCCAAGTAAGTTATTCTTATTTTTGGTCTTTGCTGATCTAATAGGTAAAAATACCTTACTGTTTTAATTGTGTTTATAATAATAGTAAAAATAAATATTTGTTTATATTTATTGGTACTTCTTTTTAACAAATTGATAATTCTATATCTTTTACCTATTTTTCCAGCGGGCATTTGTTTTTAACCTATCTTTTAATATACGACATTTATAAGAACTCTTCATATATTCTTATTACCCCTTTGTTACAAATAATCCTTTTTTATTTAATATATGACATTTGACATAAAAGGTTTTTAATTTTATACCATCACATAATCTTTTATTTCTTCCTTAGAATCATATTTAGTAAATTATTTCCCACATACATATTTTACAGATTTTCACTCAAAATTCTTTCTAATATGGCTACAGTGGAATACCATTTATATCAGCGAGATAATTTATCTCTACCATTTAATAACAAAGTTACAATTACAATTCCAATAGTAGCCAATAAGAAACAGGTTTAAAATTAAGTTCTAGATTTTTCTTACTCCAATTGTTTCATTAGCTGTTTAGATGACTTTTAGAAACCAGAGTTTTGAGTTTAGAAAATTCATTCAAAGTTCCCTTTAACCCAAACGAAGCACAGATCTCTTGCTAGTTATCACCCACCTCTCAAAAACCTGTTAGGGATCCTTATGATGGGACAGGACTGAATGAAGCGCCTCCTAACTGGGTCCCATCGTATTTTCTTCTTACCTGTTACCACAATTATCAGCAATAAGTCAGACACATACAACACATGGCAAATAATACATAGTTACTGTAGTTATAAAGACAGAAAAACAGGAAACAAAACAATACTTGAATACAGAAAGAAAGTGATATAAAGTAGCATTTAACCCTGCTTTGGAAGTCAAAATTAAATTAATATATAAGCAGTGATGAAGGTTTTCAACTCTTACCCCCAAAATAATACAATTTTGTGCACCATTTTTCGGAATTCTGGTTCAATAGTATGTGCACTCAATAATCACCAATGCCATCTTGTGGCAAAAATTCACCAGGAGCTTTATGAACAGATTAAAAATGATGACATTTTAAAGTCAGTTAATTTCAAAATGGAGCTCTGAAACTAACTGGACATAACATAGGCTCCTGTTCTCTTCAAGGTTATAATAATTATATGGTTAAGAAGATAAAGCAATGGGTACCATTCCTTAAATATTAAATAAGCTGACTCTACTATAATTAAATTTTAAAACAGCAACTAAATAAAACAAACATTTAATATCTTGGCACTTCCATGGAAGAAGGGAGGGAAGGAGCTCATCTGCCTTCCCGGGAAGCAAATCAGCTCCACGTTAACCCCAATTAAATTTTTTTGTCTTATAAAATAGAAGAAAAACCTAATAAATTAATGGAACTGTTAAATGGGGTAATTTTCTCTTTTCCCAAAGTTTTAGTAACTCCCAAAGATAACTCTTGACAATAAAAACAATTAACACTTGTGTAATGTTTAAGGTTTACAAACAGCTTTCACATATATTACCTCATGTAATTCTCACAACAATCCTGTATTGATTCAACAATCATTTTATTAAGCATCTGCTATGTCTGGAGCCCTATGCTAGGACCGAGGGTTGCAAGGGTTGCAAAACAAGGACTGACTCCTGCTCTTCAGAACCCATGGTCTCACGAGGAAGACAGGTGTGTAAACAAATAATTACATTACAGTGAAGAAACTGCTGTAACAGGAGCTATAAAAACACTTTGAAGAAAGTATCATCATCATTTTACAAGTAAGGAAGCTAAAAGAAAATTAAGTGATTTAATACCAAAGCCAGGATTCAAGCTAGGCCTTCTGACTCTAAAAACTTGCCTTCTTTCCACTACACCATATTTATCCTGTCTTAAATTCCCTAGAAAAAGAACAGTTTTTATTTTTGGTAACTGGAAATATATTCAGATGTCCATCAACAAGGTCTAGTTTGCTTGCTACAGAACATGTACATAGAGATATACAAATTCTGTATAATGAAATGGCATCACCTGCACATTTGCACTTAATTTTGTAGAGAATACAGACTCATGGGCAAGGGGAATAATTATTTATTTTGCAAAAGGGTTTATTTTTTAACATTCTAAGTCTTTTCAATCAGTGATTCCCAAATGTTGGTCTACAGACCACTACTAGGCTAAGGTGAAGATTCACTGATCCAACAAAAACATGATAAAAATATGGACAAGGCAATAAGTTTTTCAAAAAGCTAAAAGGTTCCATTTAAAGGCCTGCCCTTTTTTCAGAGATTAGAACCTTTTTGTTGTTAAATATTCTTTACCTTATGAAATGATGCTGCTAAGAAAATGGTAGTTGGCTTTGTTTTTAATATTCTTTCGTGGAGAAACTGAAAATTTGCAAGCCCATATCTACTCTAAATATACATATATAAATAAATATAAGTGCATATATATATATAATTTTAACATACAGGTTTACAACATTCAACGCCCTAGAGAAACATTGTTTTAAATCAATACAGTATGTGTTGATGACTCCAGAGTCCAAAGCTGTAAACCACACTGTCAAAGGATACATAAGATATTTAAGAAACCTCCCTTGCCCTTAAGAAGTTTATATTCTACTTAGGGAGACAAGACAGACACATAAAACAATTAGCAATACAAGACAGAATATAACAAGTGATTAGCTCAAAATTTGACATTTTTATGTATCAAAAGTGTTAAAGTGTACATACCCTTTGACCCAGCTATTCCACTTCTAGGAATCTATTCCTAAAGAAACAATCATAGATGCATGGAAAGATGTATGGACAAAGATATTAACTATGGTACTATTTATAATGGTAAAAAAAATTAGAAACACTTTCAATGTCCAATGATAGGGAGATGGTTAAGTATGCTAAATGAACATACTTAAATATGCTCATATTCTACACACCACTAAAGATATATACAAAATTATTCATTAACATGACAAAACATTCACAATATATTGCAAATGAAAAATACAATGTAAAAAACAGTATTAAAGCATGATACCATTTTAGTAAAGAAAAAAGTATTTTTATGTATTCATTTAAAAATATAGGAAAGATTACATCAAATTAATGTATTTGACTATAGTTATCTTTGGAAGGTTCTAATGAATTATTTTTGTTTTTTCTCTTTATGATGGTCTTTGTTTTCCAAGCTCTCCCACTGAGTAGGCATTACTTTTAGACTCGAAGAAAAACAATCCTGTATTTTTTTTTATTTTTAAAAAAGTTATTACAAAAAAATACTGGAAAGAAACATACCAAAGTCTTAACACTGGTTATGACTGGGCCTGGGGTTTTATTACCCCTTTCATGTTATCCATAAATTCTATTATATATGATTTTATAAAGGAAAAATATTAAAAACTACTTTGGAGTAACACTGAGGGAATAACATTAAAAATTACCAAGCTGGGCCTGGCGTGGTGGCTCATGCCTGTAATCCCAGCATTCCGGGAGGCCAAGGCACGTGGATCACTTGAGGCCAGGAGTTTGAGACCAGCGTGGGCAACGTGGCAAAACCCCATCTCTACTAAAAGTATACAAAAATTAGTCAGACATGGTGGAAGGTGCCTGTAAACCCAGCAACTCAGGAGGCTGAGACAGGAGAATCGCTGGAACCCAAAAGGCAGAGTTTGCAGTGAGTAGAGATTGCGCCACTGCACTCCAGCCTGGCGACAGAGTGAAGCTCTGTCTCAAAAACAAAAACAAACAAAAATAATGAACCAAAACTGTAATTAACAAAACCCTTTTTATGTTTTCTCAGAGCTTCGGTCAAACATC